GAAAGGGGGTGGCACCCCAGTGCAGGGCTGTCCCCTCCTGTCCCTACGGCTCTGGTAGGGATGTCCCCAAGGGGTGACCTGGGCACCCACAGATGCCAGGGGGAGGGTGGTACCACCCTGGTACAAGGTTGTCCCCTCCTGTCCCTATGGCTCTGGTAGGGATGTCCCCATCACTGTCCCCAGGGAGCATCCAGAGCTGCCAGGGGGAGGTGGGTGGCACCCCAGTGCAGGGTTGTCCCCTCCTGGCCCTACAGCTCTGGTAGGGATGTCCCCAAGGGGTGACCAGGGCACCCAGAGCTGCCAGGGGAAAGGGGGTGGCACCTTATACAGGATTGTCCCTTCCTGTCCCTATGGGTCTGGTAGGGATGTCCCCATCATTGTCCCCAGGGGGTGACCTGGGCACCAGGGAGATGCCAGGAGAAAGGGGGGTGGCACCCCAGTGCAGGGTTGTCCCCTCCTGTCCCTACAGCTCTGGTAGGGATGTCCCCAAGGGGTGACCTGGGCACCCACAGATGCTAGGGGAGGGTGGTGCCACCCCCATGCAGGGCTGTCCCCTTCTGTCCCTATGGCCCTGTCACTGTCCCCAAGGGGTGACCAGGGCACCCACAGATGCCAGGGGGAGTTGGGTGCCACCCCTGGGCAGGGCTGTCCCCTCCTGTCCCTACGGTTTCCATAAGGAGGTCCCCATCATTGTCCCCAAGGGGTGACCAGGGCACCAGGGAGATGCCAGGGAAAAGGGGGTGGCACCCCTGGGCAGGGCTGTCCCCTCCTGTCCCTACGGCTCTGGTAGGGATGTCCCCATCATTGTCCCCAAGGGGTGACCCGGGCACCCACAGACATCAGGGGGAGAGGGTTGTCCCCTCCTGGCCCTACAGCTCTGGTAGGGATGTCCCCAAGGGGTGACCAGGGCACCCAGAGCTGCCAGGGGAAAGGGGGTGGCACCTTATACAGGATTGTCCCTTCCTGTCCCTATGGGTCTGGAAGGGATGTCCCCATCATTGTCCCCAGGGGGTGACCTGGGCACCAGGGAGATGCCAGGAGAAAGGGGGGTGGCACCCCAGTGCAGGGTTGTCCCCTCCTGTCCCTACAGCTCTGGTAGGGATGTCCCCAAGGGGTGACCTGGGCACCCACAGATGCTAGGGGAGGGTGGTGCCACCCCCATGCAGGGCTGTCCCCTTCTGTCCCTATGGCCCTGTCACTGTCCCCAAGGGGTGACCAGGGCACCCACAGATGCCAGGGGGAGTTGGGTGCCACCCCTGGGCAGGGCTGTCCCCTCCTGTCCCTACGGTTTCCATAAGGAGGTCCCCATCATTGTCCCCAAGGGGTGACCAGGGCACCAGGGAGATGCCAGGGGAAAGGGGGTGGCACCCCAGTGCAGGGCTGTCCCCTCCTGTCCCTACGGCTCTGGTAGGGATGTCCCCATCATTGTCCCCAAGGGGTGACCCGGGCACCCACAGACATCAGGGGGAGAGGGGTACCACCCTGGTACAAGGTTGTCCCCTCCTGTCCCTATGGCTCTGGTAGGGATGTCCCCATCATTGTCCCCAGGGGGTGACCTGGGCACCCACAGATGCCAGGGGGAGGGTGGTGGCACCTTGTACAGGATTGTCCCCTCCTGTCCCTATGGCCCTGTCACTGTCCCCAAGGGGTGACCTGGGCACCCAAAGATGCCAGGGGGAGGGTGGTGGCACCCCAGTGCAGGATTGTCCCCTCCTGTCCCTATAGCTCTGGTAGGGATGTCCCCAAGGGGTGTCCCCAGTGCCAGCGGGGTCCCAAGGGGTGAGCGGGGCACCCACGGGTGATGGGGAGGTGGGTGCCACCCCGGTGCAGGGCTGTCCCCTCCTGTCCCTACAGTTCCCATAAGGAGGTCCCCGTCATCTTCCCCAAGGGGTGACAGGGGCAGGGTGGTGGCACCTTGTACAGGATTGTCCCCTCCTGTCCCTATGGCTCTGGTAAAGATATCTCCATCATTGTCCCCAAGGGGTGACCAGGGCACCAGGGGGATGCCAGGGGGGAGGGTGGTGGCACCCCAGTGCGGGGTTGTCCCCTCCTGTCCTGGTAGAGATGTCGGGGGGTGTCCCCAGTGCCAGAGGGGTCCCAAGGGGTGACCGGGGCACCCACGGGTGGTGGGGAGGTGGGTGCCACCCCGGTGCAGGGCTGTCCCCTGCTGTCCCCAGGCTGTCTCAGCTGCCCGGCGGGCACCGAGCCGGTGCTGGGGCTGGAGTACAAGTGGTGGAACGTGTTGCCCCCCAACATGGAGACCACCGTCCTCAGCGGCATCAACTTCGAGTACAAGGGGATGGCAGGTACCGCCGGGGACACTGTCCCCTCCCCGTCCCCTCCTGCTGGTGGCATCCAGGGGACCTTCCTTGAGCTGTCACCTTGTCCCTTGCAGGGTGGGAGGTGGCCGGGGACTACATCTACACGGCAGCAGGAGCCTCCGATAACGACTTCATGATCCTCACGCTGGTGGTCCCCGGCTTCAGGTGAGGTGGGGACAAGCCACCGGGGTGTCCCTGAGGAAGGTGTGGGGTTGGGGGGTGTGGGGTGGAGCCTGGCAGTGTCCCCACATTGTCCCCACACCACCCCCAGCCCCCCAAACCCGGTGCTGGAGGACGTGGAGAACAAGGAGGTGGCCAGGATCACCTTCGTCTTCGAGACCATCTGCAGCGTCAGCTGTGAGCTCTACTTCATGGTGGTGAGTTGGGGGGGGGACACGGGGAGGGGACACAGTGGGGTTTTTGGGGGGGTCTCACCATCCCCGTGTCCCCACAGGGTGTCAACTCCCGCACCAACACGCCGGTGGAGACGTGGACGGGCCCCAAGGGGAAGCAGTCCTACACCTACGTGGTGGAGAAGAACGCCACCATGAGCTTCACCTGGGCTTTCCAGCGCACCCCCTACCACGAGGCGGTGAGGGGACAAAGGGGGTGACACCCCCCATACCTCGGGATGGGGGTGTGGGGGTGTGGGACACCTGGGGTGGCCCGTGGTGACGTGTGGTCTTGGTGCCAGGGCCGGAGATACACCAACGACGTGGCCAAGCTCTACTCCATCAACGTCACCAACGTGCTGGGGGGGGTGGCGTCCTTCTGCCGCCGCTGCGTCCCCGAACCCGCCGGCTCCTGCGCCCCGTGTCCCCCCGGCAACGCCCTGGACCCCACCTCGGGGACCTGCCAACCCTGTCCCCCCGGCACCTACCTGCGGGGTCACCCCTCCGGCGGGACCCCCTCCTGCCACCCCTGCGGCCCCGGCACCCGCAGCAACCAGGTGCCCGTCCCCGCGTGTCCCCCTGGGGGTGAGGGTCCCGGGGAGGTGGCGGGGGGACATCCCAAATGGGTGACACCAGCCCCCCAACCTAGATGTCCCAGGTGGGTGGCACCAGCCAGCTCCAGGAAGGTGGCACCAGCACCCTCGCCATCATGGGGGGGTGACACCAGCCCCCATGGCCACCCTGGGTGGGTGACACTGTGTGCATGGGTGATGCCAGCCCCCTAGATGTCCCCAAGGAGGTGCCACCAACCCCCCATGGCCATCCTGGATGGGTGACACTGTGTGGATGGGTGATGCCAGCTCCCCAGATGTCCCCAAGGAGGTGCCACCAGCCCCCATGGCCACCCTGGGTGGGTGACACTGTCTGAATGGGTGATGCCAACCCCATCCTGGGTGGGTGACACTGTCTGACCCCGGGTGGGTGACGCCAACCCCATCCTGGGTGGGTGACACTGGGTGGGTGACACTGCCTGAATGAGTGATGCCAGCCCTCCAGATGTCCCCAAGGAGGTGCCACCAGCCCTGCTGGCCACCCCTGGGTGGGTGACACTGTTTGAGTGGGTGATGCCAGCCCCCCAGATGTCCCCAAGGAGGTGCCACCAGCCCCCATGACCGTCCTGGGTGGGTGACACTGGGTGGGTGACACTGCCTGAATGAGTGATGCCAGCCCTCCAGATGTCCCCAAGGAGGTGCCACCAGCCCCCATGACCGTCCTGGGTGGGTGACACTGTGTGAATGGGTGATGCCAGCCCCCCAGCTGTCCCCAAGGAGGTGACACCAGCCCCCATGGCCATCCTGGGTGGGTGACACTGTCTGACCCTGGATGGGTGACACCACCCCCCTGGGCTGCCCAAGGGGCGAAGCCAGCCCCCCTATGGGTGATGCCAGCCCCCTAGATGTCCCCAAGGAGGTGCCACCAGCCTCCCATGACCATCCTGGGTGGGTGACAAGGTGGGTGACAGTATCTGACCCTGGACGGGTGTCACCAACCCCATCCTGGGTGGGTGACACTGGGTGGGTGACACTGCCTGAATGAGTGATGCCAGCCCTCCAGATGTCCCCAAGGAGGTGCCACCAGCCCCCATGGCCATCCCGGGTGGGTGACACTGTCTGACCCTGGATGGGTGACGCCACCCCCCTGGGCTGCCCAAGGGGCGATGCCAGCCCTCCCTCCTGTCCCCAGGGGGATGACCCCAGCCCCCCCGGCCATCCCCTCTGGGTGACCCCAACTGTCCCCTGAGGGCCACCTCCTGTCCCCAGCTCCGGTCCCTCTGCTACAACAACTGCAGCTTCTCCCTGGCGCTGCGGGGCCGCGTCCTGCGCTACGACCTCTCGGCTCTGGCCCCCGGCGCCGCCTTCGCCAGCGGCCCCAGCTTCACCGCCAAGGGCCTCAAGTACTTCCACCACTTCAACATCAGCCTCTGCGGCCACCAGGTGAGGCCAGCGGGCACGGGGACTGGGCTAGTGACTGCCATGGGCATGGGGACTGGGCTAGTGATTGCCCTGGGCACGGGCATTGGGCTAGTGACTGCCATGGAGACTGGGCTAGTGACTGCCATGGGCACAGGGACTGGGCTAGTGATTGCCATGGGCATTGGGCTAGTGACTGCCCAGGGCACGGGGACTGGGCTAGTGACTGCCATGGGCATGGGGACTGGGCTAGTGATTGCCCTGGGCACGGGCATTGGGCTAGTGACTGCCATGGAGACTGGGCTAGTGACTGCCATGGGCACAGGGACTGGGCTAGTGATTGCCATGGGCATTGGGCTAGTGACTGCCCAGGGCATGGGGACTGGGCTAGTGACTGCCATGGGCACGGGGACTGGGCTAGTGATTGCCCTGGGCATGGGGACTGGGCTAGTGACTGCCATGGGCACGGGGACTGGGCTAGTGACCGCCATGGGCATTGGGCTAGTGACTGCCCTGGGCACGGGCATTGGGCTAGTAAATGCCTTGGGAATGGGCACCAGGCCAGTGATTTCCCTGGGCACAGGGACTGGGCTAGTGACTGCCTTGAGGACTGGGCTAGTGACTGCCCTGGGCATGGAGACTGGGCTAGTGAGTGCCATGGGCGTTGGGCTAGTGATTGCCCGGGCATGGGGACTGGGCTAGTGCCTGTCCTGGGCACGGGGACTGGGCTAGTGATTGCCCCGGGCACGGAGACTGGGCTAGTGAATGTCCTGGGCACGGAGACTGGGCTAGTGACTGGCACGGGCATGGCACAAGGCTAGTGGTGACTCCCCAGGCACAGGGACTGGGCTAGTGACTGCCCCAGGCACACACACGTGTACCATCATTGCACACACACACGTGTGCCATCATTACACATGCACACACACATGTGAGCCCTCGTTGCAGGCACACGCATGTGCTGTCATTGCACACACAAGTGTGTGCTGTCATTGAACACACACATGTGCTGTCGTTGTACATACCCACACACGTGTGTGCTGTCATTGAACACACACACGCGTGTGCTGTCATTGATCATACACACACACGCGTGTGCCGTCATTTGGCCAAGCTCTACTCCATCAACGTCACCAACGTGCTGGGGGGGGTGGCGTCCTTCTGCCGCCGCTGCGTCCCCGAACCCGCCGGCTCCTGCGCCCCGTGTCCCCCCGGCAACGCCCTGGACCCCACCTCGGGGACCTGCCAACCCTGTCCCCCCGGCACCTACCTGCGGGGTCACCCCTCCGACGGGACCCCCTCCTGCCACCCCTGCGGCCCCGGCACCCGCAGCAACCAGGTGCCCGTCCCCGCGTGTCCCCCTGGGGGTGAGGGTCCCGGGGAGGTGGCGGGGGGACATCCCAAATGGGTGACACCAGCCCCCCAACCTAGATGTCCCAGGTGGGTGGCACCAGCCAGCTCCAGGAAGGTGGCACCAGCACCCTCGCCATCATGGGGGGGTGACACCAGCCCCCATGGCCACCCTGGGTGGGTGACACTGTGTGCATGGGTGATGCCAGCCCCCCAGATGTCCCCAAGGAGGTGACACCAGCCCCCCATGACCATCCTGGGTGGGTGACACTGTCTGAATGGGTGATGCCAACCCCATCCTGGGTGGGTGACACTGTCTGACCCCGGGTGGGTGACGCCAACCCCATCCTGGGTGGGTGACACTGGGTGGGTGACACTGCCTGAATGAGTGATGCCAGCCCCCTAGATGTCCCCAAGGAGGTGCCACCAGCCCCCATGACCGTCCTGGGTGGGTGACACTGTGTGAATGGGTGATGCCAGCCCCCCAGCTGTCCCCAAGGAGGTGACACCAGCCCCCATGGCCATCCTGGGTGGGTGACACTGTCTGAATGGGTGATGCCAGCCCCCTAGATGTCCCCAAGGAGGTGCCACCAGCCTCCCATGACCATCCTGGGTGGGTGACAAGGTGGGTGACAGTATCTGACCCTGGACGGGTGTCACCAACCCCATCCTGGGTGGGTGACACTGGGTGGGTGACACTGCCTGAATGAGTGATGCCAGCCCTCCAGATGTCCCCAAGGAGGTGCCACCAGCCCCCATGGCCATCCCGGGTGGGTGACACTGTCTGACCCTGGATGGGTGACGCCACCCCCCTGGGCTGCCCAAGGGGCGATGCCAGCCCTCCCTCCTGTCCCCAGGGGGATGACCCCAGCCCCCCCGGCCATCCCCTCTGGGTGACCCCAACTGTCCCCTGAGGGCCACCTCCTGTCCCCAGCTCCGGTCCCTCTGCTACAACAACTGCAGCTTCTCCCTGGCGCTGCGGGGCCGCGTCCTGCGCTACGACCTCTCGGCTCTGGCCCCCGGCGCCGCCTTCGCCAGCGGCCCCAGCTTCACCGCCAAGGGCCTCAAGTACTTCCACCACTTCAACATCAGCCTCTGCGGCCACCAGGTGAGGCCAGCGGGCACGGGGACTGGGCTAGTGACTGCCATGGGCATGGGGACTGGGCTAGTGATTGCCCTGGGCACGGGCATTGGGCTAGTGACTGCCATGGAGACTGGGCTAGTGACTGCCATGGGCACAGGGACTGGGCTAGTGATTGCCATGGGCATTGGGCTAGTGACTGCCCAGGGCATGGGGACTGGGCTAGTGACTGCCATGGGCACGGGGACTGGGCTAGTGATTGCCCTGGGCATGGGGACTGGGCTAGTGACTGCCATGGGCACGGGGACTGGGCTAGTGACCGCCATGGGCATTGGGCTAGTGACTGCCCTGGGCACGGGCATTGGGCTAGTAAATGCCTTGGGAATGGGCACCAGGCCAGTGATTTCCCTGGGCACAGGGACTGGGCTAGTGACTGCCTTGAGGACTGGGCTAGTGACTGCCCTGGGCATGGAGACTGGGCTAGTGAGTGCCATGGGCGTTGGGCTAGTGATTGCCCGGGCATGGGGACTGGGCTAGTGCCTGTCCTGGGCACGGGGACTGGGCTAGTGATTGCCCCGGGCACGGAGACTGGGCTAGTGAATGTCCTGGGCACGGAGACTGGGCTAGTGACTGGCACGGGCATGGCACAAGGCTAGTGGTGACTCCCCAGGCACAGGGACTGGGCTAGTGACTGCCCCAGGCACACACACGTGTACCATCATTGCACACACACACGTGTGCCATCATTACACATGCACACACACATGTGAGCCCTCGTTGCAGGCACACGCATGTGCTGTCATTGCACACACAAGTGTGTGCTGTCATTGAACACACACATGTGCTGTCGTTGTACATACCCACACACGTGTGTGCTGTCATTGAACACACACACGCGTGTGCTGTCATTGATCATACACACACACGCGTGTGCCGTCATTGCACATGCACACACACATGTGTGCTATCATTGAACATGCACACACAAACGCATGTGCCATCATTGCACATGCACACACACGTGTGTGCTGTCATTGAACACGCACACACACGCGTGTGCCGTCATTGCACATGCACACACACGAGCCTTTTTTGTACACACATGCATGTGCTGTCATTGCACACACACGTGTGTGCTGTCATTAAACACACACACGTGTGTGCTGTCATTAAACACACACACGTGTGTGCCTTTGTTGCATGCACACGTTTGTGCCGTCATTGAACACGCACACACACGTGCATGTGCTGTTATTGCACACACACACGTGCTGTCGTTGCACATACCCACACACACGTGTGCCATTGTTGCACTTGCACACACACATGTGAGCCATTGTTGCACACACATGTGTGTGCTGTCATTGTAAACACATGCGTGTGCTGTCACTGCACACGTGTGTGCTGTCATTGCACATGCCCACACATGCGTGTGCCATCGTTGCACACGCACACACACACGCGTGTGCCCCGCGGCAGGGCAGGAAGCTGGCCTCGTGCAGTGACAACGTGACGGACGCGCGGCTGGCGGGGGGCGAGGGGGACCCGTCCCGCGTGGTGCGGTCCCACGTGTGTCAGTCCATCCTGGTGCCCCCCGACCTCGTGGGATACAAGACCCCCGTGTCCTCCCAGCCCGTCAGCCTGGCCGACCGCCTCCTGGGTGAGTGTGTGTGTGTGTGTGTGTGTCCTGGGAATGGCACTGGGACACCCCTGAGTGTGTGTGTGTGTCCTGGGACCCTGGGACCCCATTGGCACTGGGTGTCACGAGTGTGTGTGTGTGTGTGTGTGTGTCCCCTGGGACACGCCCAAGTGTGTGTGTGTGTGCGTGTGTCCCCTGGGACCCCTGTGGCACTGGGACACCCCCGTATGTGTGTGTGTGTCCCCTGGGACCCCAGTGGCACTGGGACACCCCTGAGACAGTGTGTGTGTGTGTGTCCTCCGGGACCTGGTGGCACTGGGACATCCCCAAGTGTGAGAGAGTGTGTGTCTGTGTGTGTGTGTGTGTGTCCCTGTCCCCTGTGTCCCTGCTGGCACTGGGACACCCCTGAGTGTGTGTGTCCGTGTGTGTCCCACTGTCCCCTGGGATGCCAGTGGCACTGGGACACCCCCAAGTGTGTGCGTGTGTGTGTGTGTCCTCCGGGACCTGGTGGCACTGGGACACTCCTGTGTGTGTGTGTGTGTGTGTGTGTGTGCCCCCTGGGATGCTGGTGGCACTGGGACACCCCCGAGTGTGCCTCTGTGTATGTGTGTGTGTGTCTCATCCCCTGGGATCCCAATGGCACTGAGTGTCATGAGTGTGTGTGTGTGTGTCCCCTGGGACCCCAGTGGCACTGGGACACCCGTGTGTGTGTGTGTCCCTGTCCCTCGCAGCCCCGATGGCACTGGGTGTCACGAGTGTGTGTGTGTGTGTGTGTCCCCTGGGACACGCCCAAGTGTGTGTGTGTGTGCGTGTGTCCCCTGGGACCCCTGTGGCACTGGGACACCCCCGTATGTGTGTGTGTGTCCCCTGGGACCCCAGTGGCCCTGGGTGTCACGAGTGTGTGTGTGTGTGTCCTCCGGGACCTGGTGGCACTGGGACATCCCCAAGTGTGAGAGAGTGTGTGTCTGTGTGTGTGTGTGTGTCCCTGTCCCCTGTGTCCCTGCTGGCACTGGGACACCCCTGAGTGTGTGTGTCCGTGTGTGTCCCACTGTCCCCTGGGATGCCAGTGGCACTGGGACACCCCCAAGTGTGTGCGTGTGTGTGTGTGTCCTCCGGGACCTGGTGGCACTGGGACACTCCTGTGTGTGTGTGTGTGTGTGTGTGCCCCCTGGGATGCTGGTGGCACTGGGACACCCCCGAGTGTGCCTCTGTGTATGTGTGTGTGTGTCTCATCCCCTGGGATCCCAATGGCACTGAGTGTCATGAGTGTGTGTGTGTGTGTCCCCTGGGACCCCAGTGGCACTGGGACACCCGTGTGTGTGTGTGTCCCTGTCCCTCGCAGCCCCGATGGCACTGGGTGTCACGAGTGTGTGTGTGTGTCTGTGTCCGTGTGTGTGTGTGTCCATGTGTATCCCCTCCCCTGGGATGCCGGTGGCACTGGGACACCCCTGAGTGTGTGTGTCCTCCGGGACCCGGTGGCACTGGGGCACTCCCGAGTGTGTGTGTGTGTGTCCCTGTCCCCCGGGATCCTGGTGGCACTAGGACACTCCCAAGTGTGTGCGTGTGTGTGAGTGTGTGTTTGTGTGTGTCCCTGTCCCCTGGGATCCTGATGGTCCTGGGACACCCCCAAGTGTGTGCGTGTGTGTGAGTGTGTGTTTGTGTGTGTCCCTGTCCCCTGGGATCCTGATGGTCCTGGGACACCCCCAAGTGTGTGCGTGTGTGTGAGTGTGTGTTTGTGTGTGTCCCTGTCCCCTGGGATCCTGATGGTCCTGGGACACCCCCAAGTGTGTGCGTGTGTGTGAGTGTGTGTTTGTGTGTGTCCCTGTCCCCTGGGATCCTGATGGTCCTGGGACACCCCCAAGTGTGTGCGTGTGTCCCCCCGCTGTCCCCTGGGACCCTGGTGGCACCCCTGGTGTGTGTGTGTGTGTGTCCCCTGACACCCCCACTGTGTCCCCCCAGGTGTCACCACCGCCTCCACACTGGACGGGGTCACGTCTCCCCCCGAGCACTTCCCCCCCGGCCACCCCGACCTGCCTGACATCGTCTTCTTCTACAGGTGACGGGGGTGTCGGGGAGGGGGACAGGGACCCCGCCGTGTCCCCCCAACACCCCCTGACCCCCCCCATGCCGTGTGTGTCCCCCCCCCAGGTCCAACGACGTGACGCAGCCCTGCAGTGGGGGCCGTGCCACCGCCATCCG